TGAGCTGGACGCGCCACTGCCAGCGTCCTCCAAACATCTGCACGCAACTGGTGCACGTTGGGGATGTCAACAAACCGGTAGCCGTGTGCCTGTACCGCAGACTTCATCTCGCTGCAGCAAGGCGCAGACACATGATGGCATGTTGTGTTTGACAGCGGCATCAAGCTGTTCGGTGACTCGGATCTGTTCTGCTAGAGAAACAGTGGGCAGAGGCTGACCCACAGGAACATCTTGCACATGTTCCGGCCATGAAGCTGTACTGCTGTCTAACCAGGCACCCATACGAGGCTTGGTGGGGTTTGTCGGCCGCCTGAACAGCCAGAAGGCAGCATCCAAAACTGCCTCCACAAGGCTACCCCTGCTGCGGTGGGTGCATTGTGGTGTGTGCTCCTCAGATGACTTTTGCCAAATCGCATGGGCTTGACGCTTCCAAGCTGCGTCCACTGTTTGGTCTGCCGCCACTTGCTCAGGCGTTCGGTTGGCTCGCGCCTCCGACCACCGCGCCCACCGAGCAGTAGCTGCTGCTCGGTCCGCCACCACTTGCTCAGGTGTCCGGTTGGCTCGTGCATCTGCCCATCACGCTGCAGCTGCTGCTCGATCCACCGCCACTTGCTCAGGCGTCCGGTTGGCTCGCGCCTGCACCTTTCTGGTTGCATCCGCACTGGACAGCTGGGGTGTCGGGGGGGAAGGTGTGGCTTGAGTCCGGCCCGTCAAGCTCAGAAGCCACAAGCCTCCACCTGCAACTGTACCTAACCGCCGACATCCTGCGTGATGTCAGGAAGAGGATTACTAGTCTACCGCCCATGCAGGAGATGGAGCAACATCACGGGCACCAGTCCCAACCAGGACTCCTTACCGGAACCAGAATTGTCCATAGAAATGGCCGGTCAGACTGATGTCGCGACAGGTTATCCTCCTATCCTCAAGAAATGCAGTTGCGGGCCAATGGAACACAGTACATCGATACAATATGGATGTATGTTGCGCAGTACCGCTGTTTGGTAGAATTGTATCCTGAATCCGTATGATAAATTTTATCCTGGATCCGTTTGACAAAATTAATAAATGCACTCGAGGGCCAATGGCACACATTACTTCTATACAATAACTGTGCTGCGCAGCATCACTGGTTGATAGAATGTATTCTGAATCCGTATGATTCTATAGAATTTCTGCGACTGAATTTATCCCGGGGAACGTTGCGGTGTGCGCGGCTTCACGTCATTTCGTGGCGGAGCCATTGTAGTCTAGTTTTCCACTGCAAGTCCTGTCACACAGTGGAACTACGTGGAACTACCCACAGCCACGCCCAGGCGTCCCCGGTTATCCTGATATTTTGTGATAAACGTTTAACCTTGCAAGTTCATGTCAAACAACACAACTATGCGCGTCTGTTGTTCGTTACCCACCACGTGCCCAGTCGTCCCCATGGCCTGACGGCCCAGTATCCGTGTGTCCCCGCCCACATGTTCACGGTACACATGCACGCGTCCAAGCTTCATGCACACGCCCATGTTACATCCTCATGTCCCGCGTCCACGCGTCCATGCTACATCCACATGTGGCTACATCCACGGTGCCACCGTCCCATGCACCCACATGCCCACACGCTCACGCGTCCATGTGCCCTTGCATCCTCGCGTCCTCACGTCCTGGTGTCCTCGTGTCCTAGCATCCTCGCCTGCAACTCGTATGCGACCCGAGATTCGAACCCGCGACCTGTCGTCCTCGCATCCTCGCGTTTCGGTGTGCAACTCGAAACTCGCGGAGTGCGACTCGAACCCGCGACCTCTGATTGTGAAGAGGGCGCGCGCTAACGAAAACGCAAAGCTCCGGAACCATCCAATCGAGCGCGACTTTCCAACGAGCCCCGGACGCGAGCCGGTCACGGACGCGATTCAGAGATGCCTTCCCTCCGCTTCGCTCTTCGCTGCGCTACGAGAAGCTACGGTGATACCGCGGCGCGCCGCGAAGTGGACCGTAGCTTCGACTCCCAGGCCAGGTGTGGGTGTGTGGTGCGTAAGGTGCTGTGTGGTGTGTAGGTGAGAACGGTAATAATGTGGGGAAGCAGTGGCGAGGACTCAGTTACATTACATCTGTGATGGAGGGTGGCTTAGTAGCAAGCCACAGCCAGCAGTGCCGTAGCAGAAGGTCATTCTCAAGGTTCACGTCTGGCATCCAACAGCAACGACCCATAACAACAATCGATGAGGGGCCCTGATAGCAGCACGGCACAAGGAATGTCCGCGGATTGTGAGCGGTGAAGTGAATAATGCCGCCTAGGCTCGCATCACACTAATTGCATGAAATCACCGCGGTGGCAGCATCGTCAGCAGCGGAGTAACAGCAGTCTGCGCGGACGATCCTGCATTTGATGGTCGTCATGAGCAGAACCCAGCTATTGCCACACCCTGGACGCATGCTTGTGTTCTCGTGTTCTAGTGCCGTTGCATTCTCACGTCTGGGCGGGTGCCTGTCCTCACCGCCTCACTGTAGTGCATACATGGGGCCGTGTCGCATCCCCATGATGCATGAGTACAGTCCCAGTCTGTCACGGCCCCAGTTGTCGCATCCTCACACCTCACATCTTTGTTGCATCCTCACACTTCACATCCCCACCATACATCCTTGTCACATACATGTCTCACCGTCACACCTCACATCTCACATCCTTGCGTTCGGCAAATATTTGCAGTACTACACGTACGGTTTCATGCGGTCATTCATTCACGTGCACACACGTTGTGTGTACTCGCGGTCGCATGCCCTGGTGCTTCACATTCACGGGTGTATGGTGCTTTGTGTACGGCATGTGCGGCTGAAACCGCATATTAGGAATGTGTAGTATAGCAGCACCGGAGCGTTGCATTGCAAAAGTCAGCCATCATGCAGGGCACTGCGAAGAGATGCAGTTCCTCACCGCGGGCCGCCATGTAACAGATGCAGATGTGGAACACGGTGCCACAGAAGCAGTCGGGGTTGCTCTGCCGCTTGTCGCCAGGTTTGAAACCAAAAAGGATGTCCATGAAGGCGAGCTTAACCGTGTTGAGGAGTGCTTGGCTGGTGTAGGGGTTGTTTCGCACCCGCCACCACTTGTCCATGACACGCTCCTCCCACAACGGAGCACCATCCTCGCCAAATTCCAGAAACTGCCCAGCAGCCACGACTGCAGCCGCACTGTGCAAGTCGGCGGGGTTGACATTAAACATGAGGATTGGCAGCCCGGTTGCGGTGGCTACACCACGTAGATTGGCATGCACGTTGTGGTAATATGCATCTGTCATGTCGATGCGTGCGACTGTTCGCCGAAGAGAGGTGACGAGGGTGTGCACGAGAGGTGACATGTCTTGGAGCAGGTGGCGGCGATCCGGGTGCATCTTCGGCAATGCCAGGATGTCCGCCATCGCTTTGACAGCCTCTCGCGGGATGGCGCCCACCGTGTCGATGTCCTGCTGGCAGCACTTCACTGTAACCCATGTCTGCACTTTTGCGTCCTCCATGTTGAGCACGTCCACCATGCAGGCGAGCATGAGGAGGTTGCCGCTGAGCTGCCGCTGTGGCACACGCGTAGACACATGCTGGAAGAAGGTCCGGTTGCTCATACCCAGGGGACGGATGCCGCCCTTTGTGTACAGAAATGCGGTGGGGAAGTTGCTGGCAAGCACATCTTCCCGGGAGTAGTCCAGGATCTGCAGCAGGGCGGAGGCATAGAGCAGGGAGCATGCATTGGGCAGGTCGATTGTGATATGCATATCAGTGAGGAGGCACAAGCCTTATGCGGGTGTGTCACGCACGAGAGTAGCAGCGCATCAGGGAATACACTTCACCCACCCATTACCAGCTTACCTTAGAACCACTGCCCCCAGACGCAAAGACCAGCCGGTGTTCCGCTGTCAGCTCACGGTGTAGCTCCACCGGGTTTCGTGCATCATCACCTGATCCCGGCACAGTTGTGTCAGGGACAACAGGCACCAGAACTCCGAGCTCCTCGAGACCAGCATCCTCCGGTGTGTTGTCCGCTTGTGACACTCTGGGTCCATTGCCTGCCACTCCTTCATCGCTTGGTCATCGATATGCCTCTCGGAGGTGAGGTTGCTGAGGTAGTTGACCCAGGCCACAATATTAGCTGCTCGGATGGACAACACCTTGGTGCTCTTGAGCTTTTCTAGCAGCTCCTCCTTGCTGCTGACGACATCCATGCAGAGGACGGTGATGTTCTCCGGCAACGACACAGCAGGGCATGGGATGGTGTCCACCCACTGATCGAGTGATGGGTTCGCCATGGCTATCTTGTGCATTGTGACGGTGATGGGCTGCAAGTCAGGCGGCCGGTTCTTAACCTTAAGCATGTAGATCTGCTGCTGCACATGGCCCAGCCCCAGTATGTTGGCTTCCAGCACGGTAGGCCACTCCAGATGCTGCCCATCCTGATTGATTTCCGGCACGTCTCCACCATCATAGCGTGCGAGAGCAGCCTCCGGGATGCGTCCACCTGGATGCGGAGGCAGCAGCCACAGGCAGGGCAGACCAGCCAGAATAACCAGTGCGGTTGCGTGCGTGCATGCATGAACACCCAGCACACATGATCGGCAACGAAAGCACCGCATGCAAATTCTCATGAAATGCGTCTGTCCCAGCAGCCTACCCCAGAACTGGCCACAACGAACAACATCCCACAGGAAAGCAGCCGCCAAACCCCATCAAATACATATGTTGCCACACATTCGTTCCCCCGACCCAGTGTTTAGTGCTTACATTCCAAGGCATGAATGCAGTCATTGCACATCATGATGATGTCGTCGCCAGCCTCGTTGGTGTGCACTGTACAATTCTCCCCAGAGCGCTCCACATGCATGCAGTACAGCACTAGCCACACACCCAGAGCAGTGGGATCCGGCCGTGGCTCCATGCCAGGTTGTGGCGGCCACGAAGGGAGCATCCATTCCTCATGCTGGCCGTCTGCGTCTTGTGGCCGTGTCGCATCCACTTCTGCTTCTTCATCGGAAAGAATAGACTCCTGCTCGTCGTCAATACCATCCGTCTCACACCGACGCTGCCGTGGCAGACTAGATGGGCCCGCCTCATGCGGCAGAAAGTCCTCCGGGAAGCCGTATGCTCCAGAGTTGCCCAAATGGTCCCGCACCTGTTGCAACGAACTGCACTGCTGGGTGGGCTGGTGGTGATCTTGGTCATCCGAACCACCAGAGTACCCTGTTGTACCAGGACGCTTGGTGAGCCCTATCTTCTCCGTAGAATGCCCATTGAGCCACGTCTTTTTGGAAGCCCCACAGCAAAGCTGGCTCAGGCGGTGGTGGTGTTCTGCCCCCTGGTGCGGCTGCCACTGGTAGCCATGTGAAGACTTGAGCTGGACGCGCCACTGCCAGCGTCCTCCAAACATCTGCACGCAACTGGTGCACGTTGGGGATGTCAACAAACCGGTAGCCGTGTGCCTGTACCGCAGACTTCATCTCGCTGCAGCAAGGCGCAGACACATGATGGCATGTTGTGTTTGACAGCGGCATCAAGCTGTTCGGTGACTCGGATCTGTTCTGCTAGAGAAACAGTGGGCAGAGGCTGACCCACAGGAACATCTTGCACATGTTCCGGCCATGAAGCTGTACTGCTGTCTAACCAGGCACCCATACGAGGCTTGGTGGGGTTTGTCGGCCGCCTGAACAGCCAGAAGGCAGCATCCAAAACTGCCTCCACAAGGCTACCCCTGCTGCGGTGGGTGCATTGTGGTGTGTGCTCCTCAGATGACTTTTGCCAAATCGCATGGGCTTGACGCTTCCAAGCTGCGTCCACTGTTTGGTCTGCCGCCACTTGCTCAGGCGTTCGGTTGGCTCGCGCCTCCGACCACCGCGCCCACCGAGCAGTAGCTGCTGCTCGGTCCGCCACCACTTGCTCAGGTGTCCGGTTGGCTCGTGCATCTGCCCATCACGCTGCAGCTGCTGCTCGATCCACCGCCACTTGCTCAGGCGTCCGGTTGGCTCGCGCCTGCACCTTTCTGGTTGCATCCGCACTGGACAGCTGGGGTGTCGGGGGGGAAGGTGTGGCTTGAGTCCGGCCCGTCAAGCTCAGAAGCCACAAGCCTCCACCTGCAACTGTACCTAACCGCCGACATCCTGCGTGATGTCAGGAAGAGGATTACTAGTCTACCGCCCATGCAGGAGATGGAGCAACATCACGGGCACCAGTCCCAACCAGGACTCCTTACCGGAACCAGAATTGTCCATAGAAATGGCCGGTCAGACTGATGTCGCGACAGGTTATCCTCCTATCCTCAAGAAATGCAGTTGAGGGCCAATGGAACACAGTACATCGATACAATATGGATGTATGTTGCGCAGTACCGCTGTTTGGTAGAATTGTATCCTGAATCCGTATGATAAATTTTATCCTGGATCCGTTTGACAAAATTAATAAATGCACTCGAGGGCCAATGGCACACATTACTTCTATACAATAACTGTGCTGCGCAGCATCACTGGTTGATAGAATGTATTCTGAATCCGTATGATTCTATAGAATTTCTGCGACTGAATTTATCCCGGGGAACGCTGCGGTGTGCACGGCTTCACG